GCCCCGCTCATTCACAATCAAAGCAGTGTTTGTCCTATTGCAAGTTGCAAACAACGAGAGCATTCGAGATGTGACACACAGATTGGGCCAGTCTCTATCCTATTGCAAACAACAAGATCATTCTAGACAGACAGACAGACAGAGAGACACGCATACACGGACAGACAGACAGACACACACACACACACACACAACAACTGACGTGGCAGCTGTTGACATGGCAGCTGCTGAGCAGGCAGACAGACAGACAGACAGACAGACAGACATACATACAGACAGACGGACAGACAGACAGACAGACACACAACCAAATAGACAGACAGAAAGACAGACAGACAGACAGACAGACAGACAGACAGATAGACAGACAATTGCTGACGTGGCACCTGCCGACGTGGCAGCTGCTGAGCAGGCAGACATACATACATACAGACAGACGGACAGACAGACAAACAGACAGGCAGACAGACGGACAGACAGACAGACAACTGCTGAGGTGGCAGCTGCTGACGTGGCAGGTGCTGACCAGACACACAGACAGACAGACGGACAGACAAACAACCAAACAAACAGACATACAGACAGACAGACATACAGACAGACAAACAGACAGACATCTGCTGACGTGGCACCGCCCGACGTGGCAGCTTCTGACGTGGCAACTGCTGACTAGACACATAGACAGACGGACACACAGACGGACAGACAGACAGACAACCAAACAGACAACTTACAGACATGCATACATGGATAGACAGACAGACAACTGACAGACATGCATACATGGATGGACAGACAGACAGACAGACAGACAGACAGACAGACAGACAGACAGCCAAACAGACAGACTGACAAACACGAATACATGGATAGAGAGAGAGACAAACAGACAGACAGACGAACAAAGACAGACAGACAGCAAGACAGACAGACAGACAGATAGACAGACAGATAGACGGATAGACATGGACAAGCAGACACACACACACACACACACACACACACACACACACTGGCATTCATGCGAATACGCTTAATGGCACGACCGCACAAATACACACACACACGCACACATGCACACACACACACACACACATACATGCACATTCACACATACTGCCATTCATGCGAATACATAGACAAGATGACACACACAGACACACACATGCACACACACACACACACACACACCCACACACACACACACAGACTGGCATTCATGTGAATACACTTAATGGCACGATCACACGAAGTGACTGACAACAAAAGACAACGTCAACGCGGCGCGGGTGATTACGAGGAGCAGGCACCGTGCATGAATAGAAAAGAAACAACAAAAGGTCTCTCTCTCTCTCTCTCTCTCTCTCTCTCTGCCTCTCTCTCTCTCTCTCACACACTGTGTCTCTCTGCCTTCATCGGGCGCTGTCCTCCTCTTTTTCGTTCTGTGCAGGGGGGCACTCTCATGGGAGTCGTCATCAGAGGGGGAGGCTGCAGGATCAGGCATTGGCTGCTTGTCCTTCCGTGGCTGCCCTCTCGGGCGACCTGTCCCTCATGTGGCACGAGCGCCACCTCTGCCTGCTGTGGAAGGAAGGCGCCCTCTGCCTCGTGGAGCACGATAGCCGAGCGGATCCCATACACGCCCGGGATGTGCTCGCCCACTACCGAGCAGGTGCAACAGGAGACTGGCACCATAAAATGACCGCACCTCCGGACGGCACTGACCTCCGTCTGCCTCGCCCTCCTGCTCCCCGTGCCCAGGGCGTCCTCCCACTGCTGAACGTCAGCCTGCTGCTGGTCGTCATACTCCTCCACCGGGTGCATCTCGTGCTGCTCGTCATGGTCCTCCACCTGCTGCTCCTCTATTTGCTGCTCCTCGTGGACCTTTATTTGCTGCTCCTCGTGGACCTCTGCCTGCTGCCCTACCTCCTGCTGCTTCTCTTGATGCTCCTCATGTTGCTGCTCTGCCTCCTGCTCCTCATGTTGCTGCTCCCCGTCCTCCTCCTCCTCCTCCACAGGCTGCTCCTCATGTTGCTGCACCTGCAGGCTGCTGCCGCTGACTCTGGGACCTCAATCCAACTCGTGTGCCCGCAATATATGGTGTGATTTCCTCCCTCCTCGTCCACGATCTGTCCGAGTCTGACCGATCGTCCACCCACTCGTCGTGTGGAATCTCATCCTCGCTGTCCACATCGTCCTCGTCCTCCTCCTCCTCCATCTCACCCCACTCCATACGCTCCTCCACCTCTCCCCGCCTCGGCACGTTTGTTGATGTCCCGCAGCAGGATCATGGCGAACGGTGGTGCTACCTGCACCGGATGGAGCAACCTCATGACCGACCTCACCGTCATCAACAGCGTCGGTCAAACCCGCCTGATCACCCTCCAAATCATCGTCAGCTCAGTCTACTTCTAGCCCCAACCATCCACCTACCACCGTTGGGCCGTCATCGCCTCTGCTCTTGAGCCTGAGGCTCCAGTGCGAGTACACCAACTTCTTGGTGCGCTGGTGGTGCAGCTTGTTCCTGGACTTCGTCTGCACAAGAGACCAAGTGCTCCAATTCCTCTCAGCCGGAGAGGATGTCGTCCAAATGGAGAGCACCTTCACCGCCAGAGCCTTGATCTCTGGATGGCCAGCCCCGTGCGCCTCCCACCACAGCACCGCATTGTCCTTCTTCGCCCTCTGCACCGCCCGTGTGGTAGCGAAGACTCCTCTCGCCATCTGGAACTCGTACAGTTGGTCCAAGCAGTCGTCAAACTTCTTGCTCCCTCTCTTGCTGATGAGCCACTCCACAACAGCCTCAAACTGCGTCATGAGCTCTACATTGCCGAAAACAGCAATGTCCCTCAAGACTGGATCCAACAACCAGGCCACGGCGTGGATTGGGCTGAGCAGCATATCTGTCCTATTCTTCACGTCCACCAGGATATCATCTCGCTCCTTGTCATCGAGGGGGGACGAACGGACGAAGACAGGCAACTGGCGGGCTAGGTCGTAGATCTGAGACAAGCAGTGGACATCCTTGTCCACCTATCGCAGGACTTCATAAGGGCCCTTCATGAGGGTGGTCAGCTTCTTGATATCGGCCCAGAAGGCCCTGTCAAGAACAGTCTCCTCCACAAACAACGCCTTCCCCCCGATATCCCCCTTTCACACCATCTTCTCCCAGGCGAGTCCATTCACGATGCGAATGATGGCCTTTGCACAGACCTGCAGTCGCTGCAGCATCACGTAGTTTGTCCCGAACCTCGTCTGAGCTTCTCGAAGTAGGCAAGTGCACTCAAGGTCCAGGCACTGCAACAATTGCGTCCGCAACTGCGATCCTGACCACCTGTGCACTCTGAAGAAGGTGACCACCTTGTTGGCCTTGTCAATGATGGTCGCCGCCCACTCCTTCTTGCCGATGTCGTGCATGAGCAGGTCCATGCAGTGTGCCGTGCAAGGGATCCAGTAGATTTGCGCGAATTCAGGATCCTCCCTCAACATCCGGGCAGCACTCTTGTTTCCTGCGAAGGAGTCTGTGCAGATCGCAGTTACCTTGTCTACTCCCCACTCCCTGAAGAACCTCTTCCACCCAGCGACGACGGCAGCTGCATCCTTCTCCCCCTCACTCACATCCTCGCATTTGATGAAAACGGGTTTCGACCGCCCAGCGAGTATGTAATTCATAAACGATCGCCCATAGATGTCTGTGGTGCCATCGGTTATGAACGTGCAGCCTGTCACCTCCCAGTCGTCCCGAACCGCCTTCTCCTCAGCCTCCAACCTCCCGCACAACCGATCAAGCAGCCTGCATCGCAGTGGGTTGTACCCAGTGGACACAAGAGGGCAGCTCGCCGCAGGTTGCGGCTCATAACACGCCAGCTGGAACTTCTTGAAGCTCTTGCTTTTCGCGGCATTGAACGGGATGGCGTTCTCGACGAAGAACTCGCAGCAGGCATCATCGATCCCCTCCTGTCTAGCCGCCCCCCGTCTGCGGGCAGCCTGCTCCCCAGTCTGTGACAATGTAGGTCTTCGGACCGGAGTCTCTCCACCGGCCACAAGCCCTTTTGTCACCTCATCCACCCCGCTGCCAGCCTCCCCATGAACCGCCTCCACTGCCTCCCCATCCATCGCAACCCCTCCCCCTCGCCCCACCCCGTCATCCTCCACTGCAGGAGCATCATCGTCATCGCTAGCAGTCTCGTCGATTGCGCGCTGCACAGGGAATTCACAGGGACACAGAAACCAACCCTGTGCAACCTCCTCCAAATCGCCATCGCCCTCTTCAAACAGAAGTGCTCCATCGCTAACAGAAGTGCTCCATCGCTAGTTTTTGTGTCCCTGTGAATTCCCTGTTGCATAGCTTGCAGCGCAGCCTCCTTGATCCACGAGCGTTCCCCGGCAGCAACTGACCGGGAGTCACCCACGTCCACACCACGTGATCCCGCCGGTGGTTAAGGTCCTCCCGGAAGGGGTCCCGCCCCCCATCCGCTCTCCCTACCCCGTCAGCGCTGTTGCTGGCCATAACGCTGCTGACGTGGAAACAGCAAACCCCGACCGGATGCTCATGTGGCAGATGCGACAATGGCCGGTCCTGATGTGGCAGTTGCTGACGAGGTAGGTGCAATGCGAAAGGTTGTCGACGAAGCAGCTACACTCCCCGGTGCTGCTTGCCACGTGCCGGGAAGACGATGTTCCAGTTCTGCTCCAGCAAAACGACAAAACAAGAAGACGACGACATGCCACGTCAGCGAAACGGTGGACAAGAAGAAAAAGACAGACTTAAGAAAATATATGAAAAAAAAACGTGCAAAAAACGAAGGATGAAGGGGAGGAACAGGACACAGATATGGTGGGGGAGGTGGAGGAAGAAGAATGGACGAGGAGGAGGAGGAGGAGAAATAGGAGGAGGAGGAGGGTTGGGCGACGACGGGGGAAGTCGGGATCCGGGTAGGTAGGTAGGAGGACGAGGAGGAGGATGAAGAGGAGGAGAAGGAGGAGGAGGAGGGGAGGGCGGCGACGGGGGAGTCGGGATCCGGGTAGGCAGGAGGAGAAGGATGAGGGGGACGAGGAGGAGGAGGACGAGAAATGGGAGGAGGAGGAGGGTTGGGCGACGGCGTCGAGGAGGGTGGTGACAAAGAAGAAGTAGAAGAGGAGGAGGAGGAGGAGGAGAAGGAGGAGGAAGGGAGGGCGACGACGGGGGAAGTCGGGATTCGAGTAGGTAGGAGGAGGAGTTGACAGCTGCTGACGAGCTGGCAACTCAATCAATCAATCAATCAATCAATCAATCAATCAATCAATCAATCAATCAATCAATCAATCAACGAATCTATTGGATTCGTTGATTGAATCGAATCTTCATCAAGATTCGATTCAATCAAGGAATCG